AAAGAAGAAGAAGAAGAGGAAAATGAGGGGCAAAGATAGAACAATTTTGAGAAAGTGGGTCTGTGGAGATTCTTGAGAGTTGTGGCTTGGCAAGAGAACAAAGTGAAAAGACCCCACTATTAATTTGCATGAGAAATTATTGGGTTTTCACGTGAAAGAATATATAATAATTGAGAAAAAAAAAATATCTATTTATAATTACAAGGAAGATTTTCTATTGGTTTTGGTGAGGTTTCCATGGATAAGGACTCTTACCCATTCACGGGTTTTTAACTGTCACAACTTACTTACGAGATGGAAAATGAGAATATTTTTGGATCAGGTTTTTCAACTGTGCTTTTGATTATTTATTGTTCTTCAGGCACTGCTGGTAATTCGCTGGTATGTTGTGTGGTAGTGCTTAATTACTACGTATTCACTATACAGTTGGTTGATTTGCGTGGTGGAAATAAATCTAAGTAAACATGAATAATTTCATCAACATTGGTGTTTGTGTTTGTAGATTTGGACAAAATTGGGGAAGATGCCAAATGGTTCAAAAATTTCCTAAGAGAAAGTTCTTGGTAGAATAACTGAATTCCAGTTGGCCTATCCAACATTTTCTCCATGGATTCCTACTTCTCCTCCTTTTAAGCTTGAGAGTCATTTCTCTGATGATAGGAGTAGGTTGGCTAAAGTTAGTGACTTGATGAGAGAGGGTAGAAGGGAATGAGATTATGATTTGATTTACTAAACTTTTGATCCTACTATTGCTGAAGCCATTGTAAAAATTCCTTTATCTGAGTCCAATGGGACAGACAAATTAGTTTGGCACTGGCATCCTCAAGGGCAATTTTCTGTGAAAGAGGTTTATAAAGCCATTATGAGACAGAAGAATACTAATCAGGTGGTGGCTAGTATAAGTATGAATCCAACTATCATTTCCAAAATGTGGAGGACTACAGGGCATCTGAATGTAAAGTCAAAGATCAAAAATTTCTTATGGAGATGTTGGTTTGGACATTTAAATACAAATGAACAATTGCTGAGAAGAGGTATGTCTGTGGACTCCATTTGTGTTATTTGTGGAGAGTGTGTAGAAGATTTAAATCACATTTTATTCAACTGTTAGAGGGCTAAAAACTGTTGGAAACTGTGTGGCATTAGTTGGTGCTCTCTTCATTCTGATTTTGTGGAATATCAAAAGTGGTGGATTCATATTTGCTGTGGTAATCACTTGATTACGAGAGAATAAATGCTTGGCCTATCTGTCTTCTTGCTGTGGCATTTGTGGAAAGCAAGAAATAAATGGCTTTACAAGGGAGATTGGATACATGATCAGCAGATTGTAAGAGAAGCAAGGGCTGAGTGGTTGGAATGGACATTATCAACATCTGCTAGCTCAACCAGTAGAGGGGGGCAGACACATGTACAACTTCAACTGGATGATTTTTCCAAGGAAGTAGGTAAGTCAGTGATGACTCTCAGTGCTTCAGTGTCCAATGTTGGAGAGGTGGATGTGGAATGCTTCTTTGATCAACAGGGTTCAAACAGCATTCAATGGCAGGATACACTCCATGGAACTTGGCAGGAAAGAGACAGATGGTCGAGGACTGTTTATTGGGGTTTGTCCATGGCCAAGAACAATAATTTCAACAATTTCTCTCTATTACTGCATTTCTGATGATTTGGTGGAGGAGATAGCTGGTTGCTTGGTAGTACAAGAAGTGATTTGTCCTCATTTATCCATTATTAAAGATTTGATTGTTCAATGTAATGTCTACGTTGGAACAATTTATTAGTTTCTGTAGCTGGATATTATGGCTTATGTTTCAGCCTTCTAGGGTCAGGTTTTACCTTGCTTGTGCCGTTAATATCTACTCTTGTAGGATTGTATGGTTGTAATCATTTGACTACCGTGAACTCGTACTGCTTTGAGTTTTTAATGAATGTTTATTTGCCTTGGAAAAAAAAAAAGATTGTGATGAATGTTATAATCAATTTGTTAGAATATCACTTGTAAGTTGTCTCACATCGTTTATACAAGAAATATAGACCTAACTTATAAGTCTATTGAGCTACTCCTCTTTCCACCAATTAGTTTTAGGATGGAATCTCGTTTGGGCTTCATCTGGGCTTTTCCCGTCTTCATACGCTTCATCTACGTGAGACCGCACCCGTTTTTCCCGTTTCTTACAGAATCTGCGACAAAAATGGCACAAAGTAGTTTTCGTAAAGGTAATTTTCAAATACACGATAAATAAACAGTTGTTTCAAGAACCCAACCTTCAAAATTGGTGTTCCAAGGCCTTGGTGTAATGAGAAGACTAAGTTTTGATGTTTCATTGCAACACTTATAAATATCCACTCAATTCTTGAACCGTGAAATGTAAAATATGCTTAAGTGGTCAAGTTATGTCTTGGAGTATGCTTAATTATTCTTATATGTAATGGTGGAGTAAGACAAAATATCTTATGAAATGGATTCAAGATGTGGTCCTATTACGAAATGGATTCAACATGAAAACATCATAGTGCTAGAACTGCTATTGTGTGAGTAATATTATTGTCTTTGTGTACGCAAACAACTTATAAGTTCAAAACATCGCGCTAGTAACTGATTATTGTATTCGGTATTATATTTCTTAAAGAAATATTCAAAACCACATGACTCGGACGTAACATAACAATATGAAAAGATAGTTGTTGATATGCTGCTATGCTTTTCCAATCAATACCGGTCATAGTTTTGATCTTTGCTTTATATATTCTAATGCAAAGACACGCTGCTAAAACTCTTAAGTATGGCATATACATTAGTTTCATTCATGTGGGATTGTAAGTAAAATTAATTTGTTTTGTATCGATTTTAACTTAAGTTTAATTTTTTTTAAAAAGAAGTTTATGTGTTCTACTTTCATAGTGGATAAATTTAGAACTTGAAAAAAAAAAATCAAAAATCATTTTATTGTAAATAAAAAAATTAATTCTAAGCTGAAAATGTGGAAATAGTTTTGTAGCTCAAAATTGAGTTTAAGTAGTTCAAAAATAGCTCAGCTGCACTCATGAAAGAGAGGGTTTGGGTGAGTGCAGAGACAAGCAGTCGGGCTAGCAAAAGCTAGAATGTAGAAGTTCATGCTCCAACTCATTCGAAGCTCGTTGTGACTCGATGTAAAAGATGAGGGAATCTGTTGGGTGCCTTCAGGTAGTGGGCCTATCGCGTTTGGGCACTCGTCGTCACCTTGCCATGCCCAGTCGTGCAATGAGCTCTCATGGTTTGTGGGGTACGACTAGGATATGATGCTCGTAGCAGGCGTGACCCTTGTCGCACCTGCTAGCCACCAACAAGTCCCAACTTGTCCGGTTGCTTCCATTTCTAGGCAGACACGTATTGAAAGGTGTGTTTGGGCCCTTAAACCCCCTAGGGATGATTAAATACCCCAATGATGTAATATTCATATTCAATTGACACCAAACAAAGATAATAAAGAGTTAGAACATTAGAATACATAACATCTTATAATGTTTTTTTTTTTCATTTATTTCTTAAATAGTTTTATGCATGAGTAAGTTCGCCGAAATCTTGTATATTTAAAGTGACTACACACAAGACAAAAGCCGTATCCTAGAGACTTTTTTTTTTCAAAAAAAAAAATTGTGGGCATTAATTTAGTAAAGTTTAGTCTTACAAAGAACGTATTTTACGTGCTTCGACTTTGATCAATTTTACACGTATTTTACGTGCTTCGACTTTGATCAATTTTACACTTTCTTTCTTCGATTTCATTGATTTCAAGATAGTTGATTTCATGATTGTCCATGATCCGCTCATGCCATTTGTCGTTATTATCTGGAAAACAACTTGTTCATATGATCCGTCTCGTGTCATTCTTTATCATTTCCGGAAGACAGATACGTACATATTGATCCAACATAATTCTTTCTTTATTTATTTTTTTCCAAAAACATAGAAAATATTATAAATCAAAACGCACAAATGTGCAAAATTACAGCCCATAGCTGAATAATACAGCCAACAGCTGAAAACGTGGGAGGACAGGTCAGAAGATCGCCTAGAACCGCAACTAGCCAAACTAGAAACCAAAAGATGAGACTCAAACACAACCGACACAACAAACACCAAAACAAATCAACACAAAGCTCCCTACAGGAGAATAGGAACGATCCCCAAGGGATAATCCCCGCACACAAGCGAGTTCACAGAGACCAACGGCCCAGACCAAAAACAAAGACAAACAACACGAACATAAATAACACAACCAAAACACAAGACAAAGAAACATAAACACTAACAACGCACAACGACGAAACCAATTAAACTAAATTAGCAGTAGACAAAGCCCTTCCCCAGTAATACAAATGGGTTGAACCAACATAGAACAACCGATACCAATAAAGATCCAAAGAACTAGTTTTACCAAACGTATTTTTTACAAACAACTAATACAATTCGCTGGTTAAATCAGTTAATATTATCTGCTAGTCAAAACAGTTAATAAAATTCGCTAACGCTAATCACTGATTACCAAATAAGACCTAATCCAAGAACAATAAGTACAAAAATAAAGACCTCTTACCAAACACTTTTGAACATCTTATACAATCTATTACTATATAATGGAGAGAGGGATATACTTGAAATAGTATTACAATTCTCGCTTAAAATTTTCAAAATTATTATTCTTAGTATTTTTTTTGGAAAATAGCAGCTGAATGAAAATTCAAATTTAATTTTCAAAAAATAAAAAAATAAAAATAAGTTGTTATTTAAGAAAGATATTTTGTAAACTTTAATTCCTAAAAATATTGACAATGATTTCCCTAAATGCTACATGTAAATCTGACCAAATAATGATAAAGAATCTTGAAAATCTTGCTTCTAAAAAATCTGATAAATTATTTCTTTAAATTTTTTCGGTCAAACGTGTAAATTTAGTTATAAAAATCCGGTCAATCATTTAACGAATAAAAGGTTTGAAATTCTTTGAAATCTTTTCGAAAATTCATGTCACCTTAATTGTTAAATATTTTTTTATCCATATTTATCTATCTACAAATCTCATATTTTATGGTCACAACTAAAAATTCATATTTATTTAACAAAAATTGTTAATTTCAAAAATTAACTTTTATTTTTTGGAGTGTTCAACTTAATTGATGATTTTCTTGTTCATATTTATCTAACTACAAACTCTTTTAAAGTTTAGAGAGACTCTCATATTATGTGGATTCTTGGTACCTATTTTTTGTATACATCAATTTTTCATCTTATATCCACATTACAAATAAATATTAATGTGAATTTTAAATATCATATTTATAATATATATATATATATATGTGTGTGTGTGTGTGTGTGTGTGTGTGTATTTTAAAAGCATGACGATTCAACAATTAATTCTATCATATTTCATGTGTTGGATGTTATTAGTTTGGTTGAGGACACTTATTATATTCAAATAAATAATATGTAATTTTTCATATTTTGTATTTCTTTTCTTGCAATAATGAAATATTAAATATAAGTAATTTTGTTTAATATAAAAATTCAAAAAAAAAAAAATTAAATAACAAGCATGTCCGTACATCACACGGGATCCGCACTATGAAACATTTTTAAGCTCCATAAGCCCCAAACACTCTAAGTATCCAAAATTTCTCAATTACTCATTGTAGCCCAGCCCAATACCCCATTTAATCATACTAACCTTACTCTTAAATGAAAAATATAAGAATTGAGATTGTAGAAATCGCTTCAAGTACATATCTAAGTTTTATATTTTATTCAGAGTTCAGATCTAGGCCAAAACATCTCAATTTTTGCATGGTATTATTCCTTTCTTTTATATATTAAATAGAGAAATACTTGATGCATAATGTCCTTGTCCATTTGAGATGTAGCTGTAAAAAGGAAACAAAATGAAGGCGGAAAAAAGTGAGTGGCGACACGTGTGAGTCCTCGTCCATCGAATAAACGTCTTTATGTTCGTTGAACTCTTCTCCTTCATCCATTATTACATTTCCTCTTTCTTTTGTGTATATTTTTCAACATAAACTTGAAAATAGAAAGGTGAAAAATAGGACGAACACCACCAGAAATCTCTGTACTCAAGCATACAACAAGTCAACAACAGCCCTCAAGCATACGTGAGACCGCACCCGTTTTTCCCGTTTCTTACAGAATCTGCGACAAAAATGGCACAAAGTAGTTTTCGTAAAGGTAATTTTCAAATACACGATAAATAAACAGTTGTTTCAAGAACCCAACCTTCAAAATTGGTGTTCCAAGGCCTTGGTGTAATGAGAAGACTAAGTTTTGATGTTTCATTGCAACACTTATAAATATCCACTCAATTCTTGAACCGTGAAATGTAAAATATGCTTAAGTGGTCAAGTTATGTCTTGGAGTATGCTTAATTATTCTTATATGTAATGGTGGAGTAAGACAAAATATCTTATGAAATGGATTCAAGATGTGGTCCTATTACGAAATGGATTCAACATGAAAACATCATAGTGCTAGAACTGCTATTGTGTGAGTAATATTATTGTCTTTGTGTACGCAAACAACTTATAAGTTCAAAACATCGCGCTAGTAACTGATTATTGTATTCGGTATTATATTTCTTAAGGAAATATTCAAAACCACATGACTCGGACGTAACATAACAATATGAAAAGATAGTTGTTGATATGCTGCTATGCTTTTCCAATCAATACCGGTCATAGTTTTGATCTTTGCTTTATATATTCTAATGCAAAGACACGCTGCTAAAACTCTTAAGTATGGCATATACATTAGTTTCATTCATGTGGGATTGTAAGTAAAATTAATTTGTTTTGTATCGATTTTAACTTAAGTTTAATTTTTTTTAAAAAGAAGTTTATGTGTTCTACTTTCATAGTGGATAAATTTAGAACTTGAAAAAAAAAAATCAAAAATCATTTTATTGTAAATAAAAAAATTAATTCTAAGCTGAAAATGTGGAAATAGTTTTGTAGCTCAAAATTGAGTTTAAGTAGTTCAAAAATAGCTCAGCTGCACTCATGAAAGAGAGGGTTTGGGTGAGTGCAGAGACAAGCAGTCGGGCTAGCAAAAGCTAGAATGTAGAAGTTCATGCTCCAACTCATTCGAAGCTCGTTGTGACTCGATGTAAAAGATGAGGGAATCTGTTGGGTGCCTTCAGGTAGTGGGCCTATCGCGTTTGGGCACTCGTCGTCACCTTGCCATGCCCAGTCGTGCAATGNTATATATATATATATATATATATATATATATATATATCATAAATTGGCCATACTTCCTTAAATAATGAGCCGCAATTTTCATAAGTGATTATTTGATATATACCATAAATTATTAAATTAATTTCGTGAAATAGTAAATAGATTTTTTTGGAAGGAAATAGTTACTATTTAAAAAATAATCAAACCTTTTTATATATATAGATCTCAAATGTCAACCAATACCTGACCACTATTTACAGTGTGGTTTGAACTTTTTTATCACATAAAAAAATTATACGAGATCAGTTTAGGTTGTATTTGGTAAACCTAGTTATAAGTTATCTAGGTTGTGTTTGATAATCCTAGTTGATAAGTTATCTGATAGCTGATAAGTTAATTGATAATTTATAACTAATAGCTTATGACTTATTGTTGAAAAACCAATTGATATAGTGTTGGTAAATGAGCTGATAAGACATGTCGAAAAATGCCATTGCCAAAAAGTGATAAGGTAATATTTTCAATTATTCATGAAAAGAGACGTCCATTTTGAAGCCAGAATGGATTTTCTTTGATGCCTTATATAATGAATGCAAGGTTCTTTGACCAACCATAGGTTCACCTGAAAATCCTTAACCCTTCCAAAGACATTCACAAGACGTTCAATATTCCTTTTCGGGTTTTGTCTTCGTATTCGCTTCTTCCCCTCTTTTTTTTAAAGCACTATGTAAATCTAGCTTGAATCTACCGTATGACAGACAGGGAACTCATTCACGATTAGCCAGACTTGCCAGTGACGCTTTCCACACCTTTCTTAGAAGAGCGAACGCACCTTCCGATGGGATGAGCGGGTCGTGTCTTTATCTTCCTTAAA